CTCTAAATGGACCTGGTCCGCTGCCGCCTTAGTCAGGAACGGGTGCTTGGAAGTGAGAAGACCCCTGGCCTGCTGCTGAGACCAGGGCCCTTGTGTCTGAGGCTAGAGAGAGTTGGTGAGAATGGGCATTCTTACAGGCACTGTACAGGGTGGGAAGAGGGAAAGTTGAGTCCAGACTCCTAGATCATGTGCTAGGTGGACTAAAAGCACCTCAGCTATGGATGGTCCACCTCATTTGCCTCTGGCAGTGCCCCTAAAGTCCTTCTTGCCATCTCCTTTTTGGGGTGTTCACCCCAGTCCTCCCCTTCTCTCCTTACCCCTCATGATTTGTTCTCTGCTGGGCTCTGGGCACAGATGATGGGCATCCTCGGCGGCAGCTCTGTGGGGGCAACCAGGCTGCTACAGAAAGGATTATCCTGTTTGGTCGAGAGTTGCAGGCACTGAGTGAGCAGCTGGGCCGAGAGTACGGCAAGAATTTGGCCCACACGGAGATGCTGCAGGTATAGAACAAGCCAGGAGCTCATACAGAGCAGGCTCCCATTTGGTGTGGGCATGGGGGCACATTGACTCTGGGAGGGCCTTGGGGGCAGCAGCAACAGGACAGAGGGGACTCTAGTCAAGTCCACAGTGGGAAACAGGACTCCCAGGATATATGCAGCCCTCTCTGAGCTCTGGGGAGGGCACAGTCCTTCGGGACCCTATGCTCAGGGTTTGCAGTGCCCTCATTGGGCACCATGCAGGGCCCTGAATGCCCCCCGGAGCCATGGAGGTACATGTGTGTGGTATGTCCCACAGTCTTCTCAAGAATGCCCTCTCCCTTAGGATGCCTTTAGCCTGCTGGCATACTCAGACCCCTGGAGCTGCCCAGTTGGCCAGCAGCTTGACCCCATCCAGAGGGAGCCAGTGTGTGCTGCCCTCAACAGCGCCATTTTAGGTAAGTGGATCTAACGGAAACAGAAGCTGGTCCGTGAGTGCCTGGGCTGGCCCCTCCCCTCTCTCCCTAGGAATGGCTGAAGTTTGTCCAAAGCAGGGCAGTGAGCTCTGCCTGGGCACTCTGGTGGCCCACAGGACTTGGGCTTCCATGGCTGAAGCTAAATCCTGACCTCCCTCTGCCCAACTGAGTTGGCTGGCTAGATCATGATAGACCCTGGCCTATGACTGTGGGCCTGGCCAGCCCATGGCTCTGAAGAGACCTAAGGTCCTCAGATTCCTGGAATGGCTGGGGGGCCATAGACTGGTGGCTGGGACGTACACAGAGATTCCTGAACACTGTGTTCCAAGAGATTCTGTCCACTGCCCCCACTTTCTGCTCCTAAGGGAACTTTGACCTGAGCCCAGCTCCTGGGCAAAGCAATGACCCGGCCTTGTCTCTCCTCCACAGAGTCTCAGAACCTGCCAAAGCAGCCCCCTCTGATGCTCGCCCTGGGTCAGGCATCTGAATGTCTACGGCTCATGGCCCGAGCTGGCCTGGGATCTTGCTCCTTTGCCAGAGTCGACGACTACTTGCACTAGCTGACCACGCTGGCTGGCCCCGCCTGGCCCTCCCTCAGCCCCAGGGCTGGAGCAGCCCTGCCCTCCATAGGCATCTGGCGCAGGGACCTGGAAGCCATGGGCAGAGTCCATTCCTCCTGCCTGGCCTCCCCCACTCCCTTTCCTGTTTTCCTTTTCTTCCTTTCCTTTCCCTCCCTCCATCCCTCCCTTCCTTTCTTCCTTCTTCTTTTCCTTCCTCCCCCTACCCTGCCCTCAGACTCTCTCTCCCCTTCACATGCAGCGGCCTCTGACACAGTATTGGCTGGTTACTCTCATGTAGCGCCTTCTACTTTGAAAGGGGGGTTTTGTTTTGAGGAGGGGTTGGGTTTTTTAATCTTTTTTTTTTTTTCCTCCTGACTGAGCCACCAGTATTTATCTCTGGAGAGCTTGTGCTGAGCTGGGTTCTGCTAATTTAGTGATGAAGCCTATCCAAGTTGGTGATAGCTTATTATTTTCATAAGTAAAAAAAATGAGATTATATATATATATATAAATATATATATTAAAAAAAGACACAGTATTTATCGTAGTGTTAGTGGTCCAGCACCTCTTGGGTGAGGCTGTCCAGACACCATATGTTTCTATTTGAGTCCAACTCATTAAAAAAGAATCATCTCTGTCACCTCAGCCAAGTGATAAGTTTATTTCAGGCTTCCCCTTTGTCGAGCCACAGGCCCAGCTGCAGCCTCGGGAAGCCCAGTAGGCATTGGGGACCACTTAGTGGGCAGGTCAGGCTAAGTTGGTTTGTGGCATCTGAAAGGTGTGGGTCCCTAGGCCCCTGAGAGCTGGGCTGAGCAGAGAACTATGGGGCTGAGGTTTCAGAGAAGGGATGAGTTGGCCCAGGGCTATACAGCAAAGCAGGGGAGTAGGGAGTCCTTGGCCAGCACACTATCTACCATTCTACCCTGCCTCTCACTGCCTGCCTTGCCCCTTCCTTTCTCCCCCTTTCAACATCCTATTTTCCCTTGTCGTTAAGATGGCCAAATAATTCATTTACTCTAAATTGATTGCCTGGAAACTACCTGCCTTTGACCCAAGAGCTGCTGTGTGTCAGGCAGCGGGGAGGATGTCTCTCCATTCCAGGACAGAAGCCCTTGAGTACAGGGGCTGCCTTCTTTCTGCCTGGATCTTCACCGTCTCTGCACAGCTCTGATGGAATCAATGCTTTCTGTTGAGAAGCTAGGACTTTGTGGAGGCAGATTCTTGGGCCGCCAGTTCCTGGAGTGGATGGAACTCTTGACCTACTAGGCCAGGCTTCACTGCAGCTGTGCCAGGCAGCTCCCTGCAGCTTGGCCCCAGACACTCTTAGAAAAGACTATTACGAGTATTTGCTGGCCAGAGGAAGGGACCTCATGGGCTCTGCAAATGTCCCACCAGCTGTTTCAGATGGATCCTCACAGCTGGTGGGGCAAACAGTCCCGGTACTGCCATCAGGGAATCAAGAGAGGAAGGGCTGAGTTGACTGCTAGGACTTGGGCAGGCCATCCGTGGAGAGGACTGACTGCCCAGGAAGAAGAAGGGAGGAGGCCTACCCAGAGGAGCACCAGGAGGGGCTGGGATTTCCCTACCTGCTTCACAGTGAGAGGGAGCGCACAGGCAGCCCTCGCAAAGGGGCAAGGCCAGAAATTGAACTTCCAGTCCCTGTCTGGGCAAGGGCTGGGTAAGCTCCTGCTCTCTGGCAGCGGACACAGGGATGGTGGTACGGCCTGAGATGTTCATTGCCTGCCAGGCCCACAGCTGGACAGAAGTGATTGAGTTGGACCAGCTGCTGGTGATGGGGTCAGAGCCTTGGCCCTGTGCTCTGCCAGAGTTCTCCCTTGGGACATGATCCTACAGGCTGCTGCTTTTGCTTGGTCTCCACCAGGGCCCCAGCTGGTACCCCACAGACCATGGCTTGTTGGGGTGGTGTTGTCATGTCTGTAAAGGAAACTCATCCTGTACAAGGCTGGGGATGTCTAGCTCCCAAACCCAGAGGTTGGATACATCAAGCTGTTAAAATGGCCAGAGCTGAGCAGGATTGGGAATTAAAACCGGAGGCTTTTGCAGCTGGAATGGGGTTCAGAGAACATCTATTCCACCAATCCTCTCCTCTTACAGATAAGGAAACAGGCCCGGGAGATTAAATGACTTAGCCAAAGTCACACAGCAAATTAGTGGCAGAGCTGGGACTAACCTCATCCCTGTGGGTTGTGCAACACTGTTTAGTCCTGAAGCTAAATACCGAGTGAGGGCTTAGGCTGGTGAGGCCCCCAGCAGTGTCTGAGCAGCTGGTACCTTCAGGGGTGTGTCAGGGATGGGGATGGGTGCCTGGGCTTGAGTTGTGGAGTGTCTGAGAGAGGGCCCGAGAGGGCCTGGGACAGCTGTGTGCTGCTTGGGGTTGGGTGTCCTCCTGGCTCGCGCTCAGTACCCGTGGCCACCTCCCCATTTTCTGTGCCTTATCTCACTGTTTCAGCTGAGTCCAAGTTGTTTACTCTGTTCCTCTCCAGAGGGGCTCTCTGTCCCAATTGGACAGCTTGCCTTTGGGACATAAGCCTTTGCCCCACAAGCCGTGGAGAGGACCAAAACCAAGCTGCTTGAGTCCACTATCTTGCTGATAGTCCAGGGCTGCCTGCCAGCCAGAGGAGCCCCTTATGCACACCCAGTCCTACCAGCCTGCTTTCAGGAGCCAACGGTGGGGAAGGCACTTGGAAGGAGCCCCAGTGAAGGGCTGGACCTGACCTGAGGGGACAGGAAGAAGACCTGGCTCTGTTGGGTTGTCCAGCCCTGGGGGAGCAGCCTTCCCTATTTACCTTTCCCCCTTGTGCCACCAACCGGTCACTCCTTCCAGAGTGGACGCTGGCAGACCATGCAAAGAAAGCCAGAACCTCTGATCCTCACCCACATGAATCTGTGGCTGGGGGTAGGCCGCCAGAACAGGGACACCAAGACATTGAGAAGGGGGTACTGCCCAGCCACCCAGCGCCTTCCTACCCCTTAAGCAAGCACAAAGAAGATGAGGCAGAGAACTGTGAGAGCTGAAAGTTCCTTTGGTTGCTCACAACTCAGGTATGCATGCTGTGTGGCAGCCAGGCAGCAGAGCCCTACTTGACCGCCGGTCCCGTGCACCGGACCTGTGGCTGGTTCATGGACTCTGGGTGCCTCAGGTGCCACCTCTTTGCATAGGGTTTTCCTCCATTAGTAACTACAGCTGAAACAGATGTCCTCCACATTGTGCACACTGGTTCTGCCTTTGTCCTCGCAAGTTGATACTTGGCATTAGCATGAAACTTGTGGGCGTGGGAGGGTTTAGAGAGAATTCTAACACAAAACACCCTATTAAATTGTACTTGAGAGATGAAAAAACTCCTGTTGTATTTTGACAGAATTATTTTTATTAAAATACACATCCATGAGTAGTCACGAGTGTCTGGTCTCTGTTTTGAGTCTTAACCGGTGTTGGCGCCCCTTGTGTGGCTCACTTTGTCCTGAGGGTTTGGCCCTTACTCAGCTCACCTCTCAAGTTCCCAGGCCCCTGCTACCCCTCAGGGACCCTCAAGACTTCAGGTGAGACCCCAAAGAGGATAGGCACTTGGGCTTCAATTCTCTCCCCCGAAACAGCTTTCATCTGAGACAAAGAAGAAGAAAATTCACCTTCAAAAAGATGGCCACAGGTCCTCCTGTCCTCAAAATAAGATTTTAATGTAGCCCAAATACACTCGTCCCAAACACTGGTCAGAGGGCTTCTGAGGCTTATTGAGGTTAGCTTCCTGTCACTCTGAGGAGAAAGTACTCTTGCTCAAAATCCTGGTTCTGGCTGTTTACTAACTTGGGTAACTGGAAAATTAACCTTTCTCAGCTTCAGTTTCACCACCCTTAAGAACGTGATTAATTTCTACCCCATGGAGGTAGAGGATTATAGCATGTGTAGGGGTGGCTTGACATAGAGGGATATAGTACCTGTGTGCTTCACTCGGTTATAGGACTATTCCTTGACAGAACTCTCCTAGGGAAAACTGGAGGGAAGAATGGAATGTTAGATTAAGCACAAAAGTCCTGGTTCCATAAATAAACCCAGAGTAGATTTAATTTCTCTCTAGACTAGTGGTTTCTACAGGGAGTGATTTTGCCCCCCAGGGAACATTTGCCAGTGACTGGAGATATTTTTGGTAGTCACAACTTGGGTTGGAGTGCTGCTGGCATCTATTGGGTAGAGGCCACGGATGTTATAAACATCCTACAATGCATAGACAGCACCCCACAACAAAGAATTATCAGGCTCAAAATGTCAACAGTGCCACTGTTGAAAAACCCTGTTCTAGAGTGAATCTTGAGACAGTAAGAAACATCAAACACAAGCACACTTTGATTCTGCGTGGCTGTTCAGAATCCAGGGGTAAAGATTAAGGGGGATAAAACCCCATCAGAAGAGGGAGGTTAGAGATTACCATTTCTCATCACTCTTGGAGCCTTCCATGCTCAGAAGGTGGCAGCAGTGGCAGGAAGTCCTGTCACCTTCCAAAGCAGGGATACCCCGCTGGTCACCAGTTCTCAGCAAGAACAGCTGCCTCAGCTCAACTGACATGTTCTGCATCAGAGGTTGCTCTGGAACGATGGCTGGGACACCTTTCTAATACCAGCTGAGTGGGGCTCCAGACTCTCACAGGAGTCAGAAAAGCAGGGGAGGGGCTCCCCATGCAGAAATAACCCCTAATCCTACATTTCCAACATAGCCTGCTTTACACTAAAGCTTATAGGTTACAGGTTTCATTACTCTGGAGGACAGAGTAATAATGGTGAACCAGAGTAGTCTTGTTACAAAATGGTATTTACTTGTGGGGACACAGACTCCAGTAAAGAGATCTGGGAGACTGAGGTCACAGTAGGAGCACTAGCATCTAAGGAACAACCAAGAACATGCAGAGGAAGAGAAGCCCAGACAGGCACCAGAGAACAGAAAAGAGTCATTACTGTAGAAGTCAGGAGGCCAAGAAGTCCAGCGAGTTCAAGAGAACTACCGTTCTGCAACAACAGGTCGTTGTGTCCAACACCAGACCTTCCTTAATTCCAGACCAAGGCCCACCACAGTTCCCAGTACCTCCTCACTACTGCTGCCGGGCTGGAGGACCCGAAAGAAGCAGAGGCTGCTATACGCCGGCCCAGCCGCCTCCACCGCCGGAAATAAATGACCAAGCCCTCCGCTAACCTACTTAATCTCCGCCCCCAAGGTGCGAGCATGCGCAATCTCTGATCACGGCCCCTCCCCGCGCAGGTCCACCCCCGTCAGGGAGCATGCGCAGACCTCCAGCCATCCCGCCCCTCCCTTTCCAGAGCTCCCGGTTCCTTAGAAACCAGGCGGCGCGTTCCCGGTGCTTGCGCTTTAGACTCCGGGGCCCGCGCGTCCCCGCCAGCCCCCCTCTTGGCGGGCGGGTGGCGGCCGAGACCGGTCCAGACCCATGGTCTCCAGGGCAGCGCGGGACGGGCGATGCCAGCATGCCAGGTGAGAGGCGGGCCCGCGGCGGCCGGTGAGGATGAAGGAGGGCAGGGCGAGGCAGCCAGCGGGCGTCTACCGGGCCTCCTCGGCGGCCCGGCGCCCGAGGTCGGAGGCGGGGCTACTCAGAGCCTAGGCTGGAGGGGGCCGTTCTAACTGCCAGCGCCGTCGTCGAGTTCGGGGGTCGCCCCGGAGTTAGTCTTCCCAACCTCGGAAATAGGACCTACAGATATGGTCGTATAATTGTAGGATTTGGGCTCCTGGAAGGACCTCGGCCATAACCCATCCCTTTACGGGACGAGGAAACCTAGGCTCCCCTGCCCTGCCCGGAGCAGACCGTACCTGTGTGGACTGACGCTTTGTGGACAAGGATGTGAGGTGTGGAAGCCTCAGACAAAGGGCGCTGGTCCATCGTCTTTCAGGGGGAGATAGGGCTTTTAGGGGGTAAATCTTTATTTAAGGAAAGAGGGTTCAGGTGGCAGATGGGAGAGGGGACGACTCTCCAGAAAGTGTGGGTGGCTCTGCCAGTCACCGAATGCCCACTGGCCACGTCTCAACGGCCCCGGCCTAGCTTTGAAGCTCAGGAAGGAAGCAGAAGGACTAGCGGAGACAAAAGGTGAGGTAAGGTGTTCCCATCAAGACGTTATCACATGAATGGGGAGGAAGGAAATGGGGGCGGGGAGATCAGGACTTGTGAATGGTTGTGTGAAGAGTTTACCTCCCAAACTGCAGCTGAATCTGAAGAACGGGACAAGAAGAGAAAAGTTTAAAGCTTTGTTGGCTAGACAGCAGGAAAGGTTATAAACCATCTTACAGAAGAAAGTGGGTGCCCTTTTGAATATCCAGAACCGAGTTGGGGCACCCCCCAGAAGAATTTTGTAAACTCTGGGGCACAAAGGTCTCAGAAGGAAGAGCCATTGGTGTATGACCCTTCACTTGAAGGGAACACCTATTTAAATTAGAAAAGACACTTAAGACATGTTATTGAGATATGGAGAAGATGGTTGTCTTTAAGTGTTGGGGAAGCTAGATTGATTCTTCATAAGGAAACTCCTTTTCTTCTGGAAAGCTGTGTACACCAGGGAACAAAAGTTTCAATTAAGGCCATCCATTTTACAGAAAATGTGAAAAAGTACTGGTTTTGAACTAGGAATTTAGAGACTGGACTAAGAGGTGAAAATTTTCAGCAGACAGTTCTGTTGGTGGGCTCCCCATTTTATGGATAAAAATTCTGTTGTCAGGCTTTCTCTTACCACCTGGTTGCCCCACTTTTCCTATGGAATGATTGGTCTGGGTCTGATCATTTATTTTTATTTGCTGGAAAAATTCGGATATATGATTGCTATAGTATTACTAGAATCCACTAGTAGTAGGATTAGCAATGACAGCTCCCTCCCCCACAAAAAAAAGACAAAAGATTTGTAATGTAAAAAGAAGTGTGTGATTTTTAAAAGATGGTCTCTGATTCTAATCAATAAAATCAATTTCTTACTAGCTTGATAAAACTAATTTTCAATGTATATATGATTTTGCAGCAGGTTTTCTTCCCCCCTCAGAGTGATAAGATACATTTATTTATTTATTTAAGATTTTATTTGTCAGAGAGAGAGAGCGTGCGCAGCAGGCAGGGGGAGAAGCAGCCTCCCCGCTGAGCAGGGAGCCTGATGCGGAACTCAATTCCCAGGACCCTGAGATCATGACCTGAGCCGAAGGCAGACGCTTAACCGACTGAGCCACCCAGGTGCCCCGATAAGATACATTTCAAGTGTGGTGGTGTTCGGGGCGCCTCGGTGGCTCAGTCGGTTAAGCATCTGCCTTCGGCTCAGGTCATGATCCCGGAGTCCCTGTGCCCCCTCTGCCCCTCATCCTGCTCCTGCTCTCTCTCTCCAGGAGTCTCTCTCTTTCTCTCAAATAAATAATCTTTTTCAAAAAATGAAAAAGTATGGTGATATTAATAGGTCAAATTAAGAAACAAAATTTCATCTTCGGTTCATAAATCAGTGCCATACAATATCTATGATGTTGTGGCTGTGCATTTTATTGATTTTTCTCTATCTGTGGAAATATTTTGTATATATACCTCAAGAGATATAATGGAGTATTATCAGAAGGGTTTGTAATCTATGGGGGAAATTGGCAATGGTAATCAAATCCTGTCAGAAAGCTTTATGAAAATCATTGTATTCTTTTTTAATAGATTTTTATTTATTTATTTGAGAGAGAGAATGAGAGAGAGCATGAGAGTGGGGAGGGTCAGAGGGAGAAGCAGACTCCCTGCTGAGCAGGGAGCCCGATTCAGGACTCGATCCCGGGACTCCAGGATCATGACCTGAGCCGAAGGCAGACGCTTAACGACTGAGCCACCCAGGCACCCCGCCATGAGTATATATTTTATTTTATTTTATTTTATTTTTTTAAAGATTTATTTATTTATTTATTTGAGAGAGCGAGAATGAGAGAGAGAGAGAGTACATGAGAGGGGGGAGGGTTAGAGGGAGAAGCAGGCTCCTCGCCGAGCAGGGAGCCTGATGCGGGACTCGATCCAGGGACTCCAGGATCATGACCTGAGCCGAAGGCAGTCGCTTAACGACTGAGTCACCCAGGCATCCCGCCATGAGTATATATTTTATTTTATTTTATTTTTTTAAAGATTTATTTATTTATTTGAGAGAGCGAGAATGAGAGAGAGAGAGAGTACATGAGAGGGGGGAGGGTTAGAGGGAGAAGCAGGCTCCTCGCCGAGCAGGGAGCCCGATGCAGGACTCGATCCCGGGACTCCAGGATCATGACCTGAGCCGAAGGCAGTCGCTCAACCAACTGAGCCACCCAGGCGCCCCATGAGTATATATTTTAAAATACAAACCCTCCTAAGAGTTTCTTGCTAGCGTAAAAGATGATTTGGGGCTTATTTTCTCTCTGCAGACCTTCACCTCTTACGCTATGACTGTATTAAAGTGCTGAGGGACAGGGCTGACAGAAGTTGTTTCCTATCCCAGGAGTTGGAACCAGACAGTAATGTGGCTACCTAGATAATGAATTTACATGTGTATAATTGAAGGGTACACTGTACACAGCATATGCAGCTTTTGAAGACTTATTTCTTTTTAAGATTTTTTTAAAGTAATCTTTACACCCATTGTGGGGCTCAAATTTAAAACCCTGAGATTAAGTTGCATGCTCTTCCATCTGAGCCAGCCATGTGCCCCTAAGACTGTTGTTTTGTTTGTTTGTTTGTTTGTTGGGGATTTTTGGTGCTTGTTGACAGATAATCTTGACCCTTAGGGTCTCTTTGGTGTGTTTTGATGGATGCTTTTGTAGCACGGTATTCCAAAGCATATTAGAGGATGTTCCATGTGGTTAATGTTTTCCGCAACCTGATGTTGGTTACTGCTGGGAAATGGTTATCATCTCTGGGGGGCCTCTCTTGGAGTGGCTCTGGGATCATGTGAAATAGAATGTTTGTCTTGTCAGGCATCCTCTGATTGTCAGGGAGAAGGGAGTGGTGGGGACATCAGTCATATTTCCTGTTACTTTTCAGCCTTTTACATTGATATTCCTGTGCCAGTGGCTTGTATTTTAGAGCAATGGAGAAAATGAACATAGTATTCCTTATCCGATGTTATTTTCAAAATTAAATGATTGTGCTTAAATGGCTGTTTTGGTTCCTCCAGGCCTGGGCTTGCTTCTGGTCATGGTGGTTTTTAAAAATGATCTTTGTTTCTCTTTCCTTTAATGCTTTATAGCCCTGATATACTAAGATTGTTATTCAAAAAACATTTAAATGTCTTTAAGTAATTTCTAAAGTGTTATGGGAATGTTACCAAAATAATGTGAAGTGTGAAATTTGGGGGACTTATTATCTCCTTAATACCATATAAAACCAGTCTTGGTCCCTAAAGAGCTTAGGGTCTCAGTAGCAAGACAAGACATTGTGGTATCACTTAAACAATAATCAGAAAATCCTAAAATATAAAATGAATGTCTCTTTTCAGGAGTACATGTCCCATATACATCCTGTATTTTATAACCAGCTTCCTTCATTACACATTAACCGCCCCCCCCCAAAAAAGAATAAAGAACATGGTGTGGCAAAGACCTGAGATTAGATTATTTTAGATCCACATTCAACAGCCAAAAGATCGTTAAATGAAACCACAGCTGACTGTGCTCATGGCCTCGTTGGTAAGCAGTTTGCTGCATATAAGAAGGAGATGCTTGTGAAGGGCATTGGGCATTTCCAGTCACCAGTGAACTACTTAATACTTAGTCTTTTTGGTCACCAGAGGCCACATAACACAAAGTAGAGAATGCCAGTCAGAATTGCTATGTTCCAGGGTGCCCTACGAATGTCCTCTATCCAAGGGGCACCTGGCTGGCTCAGTTGGTGAAGCGTACAATTCTTGATCTCAGTGAGTTTGAGCCCCATGTTGGGTATGGAGATTACTTAAAAGTAAAATCTTTAAAAAAAAAAAAAAAGGATGTCCTATACCTGAAATCCAGAAGGAAGGTAGATGGGTGACTCTCTAGAGTGTCTCTTACTGCCATAGAAATACCAGTTTTCCCAGAAGAGTACTTTTATCCATGTAGAAGGTGGAAAACACTTAGAAGACGTCAGTAAATTAGGTGAGCACGTTGAAAAATGTTTATCATCATTAAAAACTCGCCCTCTTCTTTCTTGGGCCCTAGTCCAAAATCAAAGTATGTAATACTCTTC